GATTTATTTGATTTTCAGAAAGATGTAGAAGTATGCTATTATAAAGAAATAATAATTTGTGTATCACTTCAGTATGTATTTCAGGGCCCAATAATAGAAAATATTTCTAGAAGATGTGGTGGTTTTCTCAGACAGCTATCTTTAAGGGGTTGCCAGTCCATTGCAGATGGTTCAATGAAAACATTAGCTGCATTATGTCCAAATGTAGAGGATCTCAATCTAAATGGTTGCAAAAAAATAACAGATTCAACTTGCCAGGCTTTAGCAAAACATTGTGTTAAAATACAAAAACTTAATTTAGATAGTTGTGCTGCAATCACAGACTTATCGTTAAAGGCACTTAGTGATGGTTGTCCTCAGTTAACACATATTAATATTAGTTGGTGTGGAAATGTTACTGAAAATGGTGTTGAAGCCTTGGCAAGAGGTTGTCCTAAATTGAAAAGCTTTATTAGCAAAGGATGCAGACAAATTACATCAAAAGCAGTGGTTTGTCTTGCTAGATTTTGTGAAGGATTGGAAGTTGTAAATTTGTTAGGATGTAATGTGAGTCCAGTCAATTTACAATTAATTTTCAAAAAGGAAACAAAGAAAACTAAGGTTTAGAAAAACTCGTTCTTCTGTAAAATAGCTATCTTCTTATTAAACATGTTCAATAGTATACAATAGCCATTATTTTATTATACCTGTATAAATATACAGCTATTAAGTAATAGCTTTTCAGAACGACTGGTAATAACATGGCTCATGGGTGCATGACAAATTTTTGCGCAAAAAGTTTTCCTAAAACACTCTGTATACATACAAGAAAAAACCGTTTAAATACAATATTGCGCCTTTAAATTACTAAACATTCATTAAGGAGTTAATTTGAATTTGGAATATTNCCGTTTTGGAGTTAGATAACTGCCCTTTAATAACCGATGCTTCTCTAGAACATCTCACATCATGCCATAACTTACAACGTGTAGAACTTTATGACTGCCAGCTAATTACCAGAGTTGGAATTAGAAGACTACGAGTAAGTATTTTGGAAAAGTTGGAATCATTTCTTTTTGATCTCACTGAATATTAACATTATCAACAACTACAAACAATAAAGTACTTTTAATCACAAAATGCTCATTTTCATTAAAAATTTTCCTCCCGTAGTGTCTATTATGTTTTACATCCTCCTACACAAGTGCTTTAATTTCAGAGTCATTTAACCAACATAAAGGTGCACGCTTATTTTGCTCCAGTTACTCCTCCTCCTTCAGCAGGTGGTTCGCGCCAACGCTACTGCAGATGTTGTATTATTCTTTGAGACTGCTGCCCGCACGGCTTTGATGATCCGTAACAATTATGTGTTTGAGAACACAGGGTTTTGTGCGAAAACAAAAATGTAATCAACGAATAGCCTTCAATTTTGTGTGCGCAGCCAAGTTCCTCTTGAACTTGGTTCTTTGACATTTGAAGGTCGCAGTTTACGATGGTATTGCATAAAAAAATCAAAAAGTGTACTTACATGAATTTACCAGTATCACTGAAGAAATGTTTGTTTCTTATGTATCTATTCAGACCACTATATTTTTATGCAAGAAACAGAACCTGGAGAAACATTTTTAAAAACAAAAATGAATAGATAGTGGATTTTTCTAGACTATAGTGGCCTTTTGTAACGGTTGTGACCCATTCCTGATTTTTACACCCTATTCAACCTTTTTCTTTGTGGTGTACGTAAACGTTGCTTTTTCGTTGCCGGTGTACTATAATAATTGCTTAAAATGAGGTAAAAGCAAAATAGATTTCTCAACAAATAGTATTAACTGCAATACAAACCTTGTAATCGTAAAGTATAAAAGAATATTAATGTAAACATCAATTTATTTAATTCATAATCTGACACTGTCGTTATTTATAGTATGTGTATGAGAATTAGTAAGTAACCTCTTTTTTGTATCATTTTCCTTTTCATATGAGGCAGTATTTAATTTTAATTTACTGAAAGCTTCTAAAAGCTCATGATTTAAATGTTTGTTTTTAATTTATGATGTAAAGATTTTGCTAAATACCACACACTCTTGTATATTTACGATTTCAAAGCTGCAACAAGTTTGTTAATATAATGTACATATATATTCGTGAATTTAATTTAAATCAAAAATTGATGATTAGCTACTAAATCGTTACAGTATTACACATTTAGTTGCTACCATTAATTATTTATATTTATATACTTTCGGATAAATAATTGTGATAAAAACTGCTTTTGTTTCTCATACTGAAATAAAAATAAACTAAGGGTACTTATGCTATTATTTATTCATTATATGTATTTATTAAGTATCGAAGTCCCGTGGCTACGCCCCCTGAGACAAAAGACATAACATCCAGTCGAGAACTTTAATTAAATATAACCATTAAATTTTACTTAATTTTCTACATGATCATCCCCTTATAGATTGGCATTTTGCTTCTATCTAATCGTAATTTAACGAGCGCCTTTTTACGTGTTCACCATTTTTTTTATTTTAACTATAAATAAATTAGCAATGGACTTATTTGAAATCAAACTGGAAATTTAGAGGCACCATTAAATACTACGTCCTTTTTTACATAATCCAACCCTTTTATAATTCAATAGGTTGTTAACATCTAGTATTAATTTAACGAGCGCCTTTTTAGGTTAGCACTATTTTCCCTACTTTAATCATAAATAATTCACTGGCGGACTTATTTGAAATCAAACTCGAAATCTAAAGGCACCATTAAATTCTACGTTCTTTTCTACATAATTCTACCCTTTTATAATTCAATAGGTTGTTTCCATCTAGTCGTAATTTAACGAGCGCTTTTTTAGGTTAGCACTATTTTCCCTACTTTAATCATAAATAATTCACTGGCGGACTTATTTGAAATCAAACTCGAAATCTAAGGACACCATTAAATTCTACGCCCTTTTCTACACAATCCCACCCTTTTATAATTCAATATGTTGTTTCCGTCTAGTCGTAATTTAACGAGCGCTTTTTTAGGTTAGCACTATTTTCCCTATTTTAAAGTAATTCACTGGCGGACTTATTTGAAATCAAACTCGAAATCTAAAGGCACCATTAAATTCTACGT